GTAAGGGGACGAGCGACGGCGCTCGGGGGGTCCGCGACGACGTCCACCTTCGGACCGCGTTAAAGGTACTCACCGGCTTGAACGGGAGCCATGTTGAGAGAGGTCCGTAGGCTGCGGGCGCGCTGCAGACACTGCCACGGGGCGCGGAGGTGGGGGCCGGGGTGTTATCGCTTTACGTAACCGCCTGGACGCTCGGCCGCGGCTGCTCCCGTGTGTCAGCGCCGAAGGATGCGAGCGACGCGACACGAGACGACGGCGGAAGGATGTGACCGGAACGGACGGCCGCGCTGCGAGAAGTCTTTGAATGGGCCACTGCCTTCGCGAAGGATCCACAAGACTCGGGGCGGGTCGGCCAAGGCTGTCGGCGCTGCCAACCTCGGCGGGAGGGCGCGAAGTTTTGACGAGGGGCGCGGGACGGATTTGCGACGGGCGGGCACACCGGCGAGTACCCGGGTGCGACTGGCTCGGGAGGGGGCCCGCGGCCGGCTATAGTCACTGGCCGCAGCCGCACCGCGGCGTGACGTCGGCACGGGGGGCGGGCGGCGGGCGCGGCAGGAATGACGTCGCAAATTTGCGGCGTTCCGAGAGAGTGGTCGAGTGTCGCGTGTCGGCCTGGGCCTGGCCGGCCCACAGCACAGCGCCGAGCAGCGCACCGCCGAGTCCAGGTCGATGGCGCGCCCCTTTGTCATCGAGCGCCTCCCCTGCTGGCCTCCCTCTGTCCAGCCTCGTCCACGTCCACCCCGCTGCGCCCCGCCCCCGTGGCGTGCTCGCAACGCCAACAACATGGCCCATTATGTCACGTTCCCAGATGGCGTATCGCTCTCTGTCGCCGCCGTGCTCACAGCGACGACGGTCTTTTAGCGGAATTGAAACACGGGTGCGGTCGCCTCACTTCACTCGGGCCGCGCCCCCTTGCCTTGTCCTCACCCGCCGTTGTTGACCCCCGCTCTGCGCCCTTCAGAGCCTTATCGCCAGCCCACCGCCCAGTTGTCTGTCCGTCCGCACACCCCCGCCGCCCCCAACACAGACGTGCGTGAGAGCCTTTCTCCCCCCCCCCTTCCCCTCTCCTCTCCCCTGCACTCTCCCCCGCCCCTCAGTAGCGGCGTTCCATGCTGGCTGCGGGCGACGCCACGCTTTTGGCCCATTTACAGGCGGAATGTGCATTCACTTTGCCAGAGTTGCATCAGAATTTATTTCTGTGTAATATCAGCATGATAGCAGCGACCCCCATCCCCCGCTCCGCTCCTCCTCCTCCTCGGGTCCGCGGCTTGCCTACCCCCTATCTCACCGCGTATACGCTCACTTCAGGCGGGTTTCTGGTTCAGGCCTCAAGGAGGCGACGGGTGATTTGCACGGAGCGGATAAGAGATGACGTAGCACACTAGCCGGTGGCGCCGGCAGCGTGAGTGAGCCGTATTGTGGTGTAACTTTGTTCTAACCGCGGGCGCAAGTGCGACTCCCGCGTCTCTCCTCACTCCTCCCCATTCGGTCGTATCGACAAAAGCGCGCCGCACATTGCTGTGTACTTCGGAGGTTTAATACCGTCGCAGCCAAAGGGCGGAGATGATAAAAGCCTACTTTTTATTTGGCCGTAGTGATAGTGTCATGCCGTACCGTCGGGTATCTTCGAGGGCCGCGGAGCCAGAGCGCGGGGCGGCGGGGCGGGTACGGCAAAAGGCGTAAGGATGTTTCAAGTGCCGCTGCGTCTGCCATGTCACCCCGCCGGTCGGTCACTGCTGCAGCACACACGCGAAAAGCCTCCGCAGGACTCCCCGATTAGAAGGGATCAGGATGATAAAGCTTCGCAGTGACTTGCAAGTACGGTCTCAGCTCCTTCTCTCGGAATATGAGAGTCTCGGAATATGCAGATATACTTCACATTATTAGGACAAGTCGTCGTACACGTTCTAGATTGCGTGGACACTCTTCGAACTCGTGTGTACACAAACGGAAGTACTCTCGTCTATACTTGCGCGCCCAATTCGCGGTTACTTGCCTGCACTCGTATGGTTGACTCCATCAGTTATTGTTCGTCAATGTGTATGCATTTTGTTCAAAGCCGTAGATATAAAAAGTTGTGCGACTTTGCCTATAAATAGGCACTGCACTTCAAAATATATCGTGGGAGTGTAGGTAGTACACGGCGGGCTTATATGGCTTATCCCTCTTTCTCCTTCGAGGACTGATGTTGGGGATGATCGATACTAAACGAAGAAATAATTGAGTGTAGGTGACGTAGAAGCGCGCAATTGTCGAAGTGTCTTTAGTCCGCTTCCGTCCGCCACGAGCCATTCCATTTAAAATTTACTGCTGAGTCGATTACCCCCTACCACCCCATGGCCACTTTCCCGGGCCCTCTCTGTTGGTTACCCCAAAAGCATCCGACGACCACGTCACCTCATTTTGTTCAAATATGTTTATTGTTACGCGTTTTCAGATATCATGTAGCGGCTTAAAAAATAAATAAATTGTGTGTTTGTTGCGGGTTGTCAATGAATCAAAATTCAGCTAAGCGATGCGAGGCTTTGTCGCCACACAGAGCGCAGCACGGCTGTGTCGCCCAGGGGTTGACGCTTCATGGGCGGATAGTGTGATAGGATAGGCCAACCAGTTTCGCTTGCGTGCTGAGCTGGTGGTCTATCCTTTCTTCGTAAGGGGCGCTTGGCGACCGCGGGGAAGGGGAGGGGGGAGGTGATAGTAGAAGTAGAAGTGGGAGGGGTGAATAGGCGTAAGTAGTGTCCCTGACAGTGTTCCCTGAAAGTGTCCCTTGAAAAGTGTCCCTTGAAAAGTGTCCCTTGAAAAGTGTCCCCTGAAAAGTGTCCCTTTGAAAAGTGTCCCTTTGAAAAGTGTCCCTTTGAAAAGTGTCCCTTTGAAAAGTGTCCTATGAAAAGGGTCTCTTAAAAAGGGTCCGTTGAAAGGGGCCCTTGAAAAGTGTCCCTTGAAAAGTGTCCCCTGCAAAGTGTCCTTCGAAAGTGTCCTTCGAAAGTGTCCTTTGAAAGTGTCTCCTTAGAGTCCCCTGAAGATGTTTCTCAAAGTGTCCCCCCTGGAAGTGTCCCGGTAGCCCTGCTCCCGACGACGATCGCGTCTGCCTGGGAGCTCTACGGTGTGTCTCCCCGCGGGCTGAGCGCCCTTATCAGCAGGTGCGCCTAGGTGCGCCCCGCCCGCGGCCCCGCGGCCCGATAGCCGCGCTGAGGACGCGATGCCCGCTACCTTTATGACCGCGGGGCCGCCGGCGCCAAGCCAGGCCATCCCGATCACCGCCGTGGATGCTACAGAAAATGTGTTGTTTGTTGCAGGCTCTCACGGCGATAGCCGCCCAGCACAAGAATGTCCACGTGCTGCAGATCGGTATGTGTCGCGGGCGGGGAAAAAAGGGGGGGGGGGTATCTGACTTTAAAATACCGGCTGTAACGAGCCCGGCTGCTGGACTGGACACGCTCTGCTGTTGCTGCTGGATGCACACGATGCACCTGGGGACGGCCAAGGAAGGAGGAGCACTACTTCTTTGGAAACCGTGCACGCATCATGACCTGAGGCAGCGATTTATGCACGATCCAGGGTCTGACATGAAAGGGGGGGGGGGTTGCAATCCTGGAGGTCGTGGGCGGGGGCAGTAAATCGTCTTGGTGTCACTGCGCGTTATGTGGCAGCGGGGCATGGAGGGTGCAGGACATCCCCTTCACCCTTTGGCCGAGAGCCACAGTAGTGGGGTGGGCGGGGCGGAGCGCGGCCGCTGCGACGGAGTCGCAGTCGCAGCCGTGGAAGTTTTCCCTCAAAGAGTAGTCGTCCTGGTGACGCAATCTTCATTATCCCGTCTTCTTCCCATTTCCCCCGCAGACGTGAAGGATTTCAACGGTTACGACAACTTCGCCAAGCAGGTGCAGTCCATCGTCAAGGATGACGGCGTCAACGTGCTGTTCAACAGCGCCGGCGTCTCGTCCAAGTTCACCAGGGTGAACCTGGTGAAGGTGGAGCAGATGACGGAGAACTTCCTGACCAACACGGTCGCGCCGCTGATGCTCACCAAGGTGGGTGTGAACGCGTGCACGCCCCGGTCCGGGCCGGGCCTCTCTCTTCCCAACCTACAGCAGCTCCATGTTGTTCATTTCCAGGCTCTCCTCGCCGAGCTGAAGAAGGCCTCCAAGGGCAACGAGAGCGCGCCCAAGGGCAGCCAGCGCGCCGTCATCGTCAACATGAGCTCGGTGCTCGGCTCCATCGCCCAGAACAACCAGGGTGGCTTCTACCCTTACCGCGCCAGCAAGGTGCGTATGCCCCACCCCCCTTCCCTCTCCTCAAAGGTCTCACGTAATGTGGGACTTCATGGCCGCATTTCTATGCGCTTGCCCAGTGAGCAATGAAATATCAGAACGATATCAGAAATTTGTCGACTCCATTTTTATCAATGTGATACGAAATCCGACAGTTTTCTGATGTCTGATATCGTTCTGATACTTCTCTGCCCACTGAGTTCAGAAGATGAAAGCGTTGGTACTTACCCCCACTAAAAACGCCCCTCTTCCCAGTCGGCACTGAACGCAGTGACGCGCTCGCTGAGCCAGGACCTCAAGGACGACGGCATCCTGGCGGTGAGCCTTCACCCGGGCTGGGTGCAGACGGACATGGGGGGGAAACAGGCGCCGCTCACCGTCGAGCAGAGCACCCAGGCCATGATCAGCTTCGTCGAGGGGCTGACCGACAAGCACAACGGCGGCTTCTACCAGTACGACGGCAGTCAGCTCCCCTGGTAGCGCCGCCGCTCTTAGACAATTGTGTTTTTTATTATTAATCAATTTTTGATACAATCTTGTCATTGAAAGTCGCGTTTGTATATATAGTTATTATTATATGGTAATTTTAGCTGTCATGTAGACTAGTCATCATCCATGCTTGGATCTCGATAAGTGAAACTGATGGTTTGTACTGTGTAACTTGGGGAAACTCTACTTTTGATATTCATTAATGTCATGTTCTTGTGTTCACTTGGAATTAAAAATGAGGTGTTTGTTTTACCATGCTTTATTCTTGGAAGCAACACAAAAAAAAAGATTAAAATAACAAAGGCATCAAGGTGATGCAAATAACCCTGCGAAAGGGAGATTCACTACTAAAATCACAAAACCTTTGACCAACAAAGCAAAGTGCTTCTATTAGCCAATTCCCATCATACACTCAAAAAGAAACGAATGTCACTGTTACCTCAAACTGACAAACAGAAATTGAAATACTGTTTTACACAATACTCAAACACTACTCACCAAACAGGTATAGTATCACAAAAAACAGAGTATTCACATACGAATTTTGATGAACTACATACAATAAATACCAATGAATAAATAATTAGGAACAGAAGTACTTTCATCACATAGATCAAACCTAGAACATTTATACAAATATCTTTGTACTTGCTCATTTAAAACAGAAGCAATCATCATGGGAATATATGAAATGTTTGGCAACCATAAGTCTCACAATGTTCAGGTTCAGTGTTCACCAACTTTAGATATTGTACCTTGATTGAAGTATCATAGCTCATAAAACAGAGCCTTGTGATTGAACATTTAACAAAAAGTTTCACAACAAAGGACTAGATTATGTACCATGCACTAACCAGAAAAATATTTTAAACCTGGGTACTACAAGCTCCAGCACACATCGTTTTCAGTACAGATTATTACGCCAATCATAAGAACTAAAGTTGTTAAAGGGAAATCGAAAGTAATACAAAAGAAAGTTTTTGTTAGCTTTCAGATAAAATAATTAAAAGGGAAAATGTGATGCAATAAGCAAGTTAAGCAAAGACTCAATTCTCTGCAAGGGCAGGATAACATTATCTGATAATTACAAATACATTTTTTTTTAAAAGCAGGAACTAGGCCATTATTGTTCTTATGATTGTACACACTTACATCTGTTTTGCAAACCTTTACAGGAGAATGAACACTAGATATGTTGATTATATAATATCAAACTAGAGGAGTTAAAAGAGATAGCAAGAGTACTCATTAAAAATATATAATATTATCATGGAAACAACTAAAACGTCTTGGTGATCTGGTATCTATTTTAACACCCATATTATTGCGTACATTTCTATAAAAGTTATCACAATAATGAGAATTTTGAAATATATTTTCCCCAAACAAGATCAGCAAAGAGAGATAAAGCAGAACTATTTAAAGAAGGCACATCCATCAACATGAAGAAACATTCTTTAATGGCTCTAAAAATAAAGTTTCTTCTGCTTTGAAGAACTGGTTCTTTCTTTTCCTTTTTTTTTGTGCTGGAAATATTTTGAATGTGGAAAGGGTTGGCAAACACAACAATGTTAATGAATAGCGTGGAAAATTTTGATGCACATAAACATTGAAAAGTTCAGGATTAAACTAAAATTTTGATGAACACACTAATGATACATCTACCTTCCTGAACACTAGATAGAGAGAACTAGCCAGAAAATAACTAATTTCACAGCCCAACTCCAAGTCTTCTTACCTTGAAGAGTCAATTAAATTATAAGTTAGAAAGGAATTGCAGTCTCTTAAAAAAACGGATCCAGGGAAAGCAAGGCTCTCTTCACAAAGTTTACGGTAAAATACTTTTTTTTATGGGGACAAACACCCAAACAACACCAGGACAAAAAATAATTAAAATACTATTCAGTTTAGGACCAAGGGAGCCAGGACTTCAGAGATGATGGGCTTGTTGGAGTTTGAGGTCCGCTAGGAGATTTTGGAGTAGGTGACTTTGATGTGGGTGATGCTGAGATATACTGGGACGGTGTTACACCCTCAACAGCTTCATCAGAATCATTCAGAGAGTTAACAAGCGACAACCGTCGAGGGGAGAGTATGCCTGCCTGAGCAACTCTAGCATTAGTTTCCATGTGCATTTCGGCTTCATATTCACGCACTTCATCCAATGTCATACTAATCCAGCTATCAATCCATGCAAAGGCCTGTCGGTGAGCCAGCACTTGTGCTTCCCTGGTGTACTGAAAATTGACACTATTATTATGCTTACAGAACAATAAATTAAAAAGAAAAGGACAGAGTAACTATAAAGAATTTACCTTGTGAATGAGTTCTTCAACTTTAGTTTGCAGGCCCCACACCTCAAAGGATGCTTTCACTAATTTGTAAGAGCACATTACAGGCTGAGATGAGTTTTTCCAACCTTCCACCAAGGGTCCCCGGCCTGTTTTCTGAGATTGAAAATATCTGACATCCTGTAGAAGAAAAGTAAAGGGAGATGAATTTAAAGCTTAGATAGTTAAAGAAAGTTGTAAATATAGAATATTAAAACTTCATACCTCTTCTTCTCTATAATGCTTTGGTCCAATTTCATCATATGCAATGTCCACAAAATCTACAGCTCGTTCAGCTAATTCTTCAGGAGTTAACTTGTGACACTAAAAAGAATATAATACTATTAAAGTGCGCGGAACAATACATAATGCATTAGGTGTAACCAAAATAACAACATACATTGTGGGTTGTGCCATTGTTGTCTTCATATCGAGTAATAACTTGGATATGGAGTTTGGGAATAAAAGAGCACTGCAATATAATTTTTTTCAGGTTTAAAAGGTGACATTCCAGAAGTAAAAATAAAAGAAAAATAAAAGAAATGGTAAAACTTACTGTATATTCTGATATGGTGTAGGGATAGTAATTCCAGGCCTTTTCAGTAATATAAAACACCTTTGGTATCATTGCCTGCACCCAGTAAGGAAGACGACTGAAAAAGACAATTTTAAATTAGTTGAAATAGAAAGGCTCCGAACAGGAGAAAAAGTTCAAAAACTTAGTGGTGGCAACACATACTTTGACAGATGAATGCGCTTTTCAGTAAACTGTCCCTCACCATGAACAGGATCTTCACATGGCTGATTGCAAATAACCTCCACACCTTCTCCAGAATCAGATTGTTCATGACTGTACCTGGCTATCATGTACAGTTGGCCAATTTTGTACTGCACAGACAAAATTTGAAGGTAAGCATGTGACACAAAATATTTTTAAAGATAAGGCGGAGTAAAGGAAAAATGATGACATTGTAAAACAAAGGTCGAGAAACATATGAAATTTTTAACACAAGTGACGACAATCAGCGGTACGATTTTAGCATGAACACCATACTTTTAAACACTCTTACCTCCTCTACAGTGAGTGGCATGCAAATTCTATACTCCTTCGTAAGAACCATTGTGGGCGAATGAACATAAACAAACACAGCGTGGGAAACAAGCAATTATTTACCACCAGCTATCAAATCAAAACAATTCCGCAGTGGGCTTAACCTAAACCTAACCATCCAAAGAGACAGACTTCAGGGTCCTTTCAAAGGCTCCGAAATTGGCGCCATTTCGCCAACATCTTCACTTTAAGAACACAAATAAATATCAAACAGGTAGGTAACTTAAACAAGTTTTGTGATTAAAAAATACAAAGAAAATATAATTTTATTTTTAAAAGTCACTACAGGTTTCGATATGGATAAATGTACAGTGTACTATTGATGTAATTTTTGATAAAGAGTTGGCATCCCTCCCAGTGCCACATGTTTACGAAACTTCAAAACTGCTACCGCACGTTAGGAAGGGAGGAACTTGGAAGGAAATCTGTTGTATTTCCGCACCACTTGCTCAAGACTGGCTCTCCTCCGGAGTTTATTCGCATGATTCCGTTCTTCAGGTTTTAGAGAAGGTTTAGCAAATGAGTGGACCGGGTCAAGTGGAGCAGGAACTGGAGGAGGAGGAGCTGGTAAATACATCTTCTACCACACTGTCTGGTATTCCTACTTTCTAGCCCTCTTCTCCCTGGAACTTATCTGTCACTTCCAGACAGTTTTCTACAACACCTTTTTATTTATTTTTTCCCAATCCTCTAACCTCAATTTGTCAGCGCTCCTGACGCTGGCATTGTCTGTCAAAGCCAGTGAAGCTTGACGCTAGGTCATCATTTGTTTCGAGTAATCTGGCTTAAACAGACTGAAGCTGGCTTCAAGTTTGTTTCAGCTGATCAGGGAACCCATAACTAATGAAAAATTGGCTTCAGGCTTGACTGGCTTCACAAGACAAAATTGACCAGAATGGCATTGTCAGCGGTGTCACCAGGAGAGCTTCCTTGCTACTACTGACTGCGTCCTGAATTACTGACCACGTTCCATGACATTTACATTTTTATAACACAATGAATGGCAGCAACATTATGGACTTGTTGAAAATTTGGGCCTACATACTGCATGCTGTTGTGCTGTTGCACCTCCTCACACCATATTTTTTCCTGTCTTTTATCACCATAATGGAGGGTGATCCACAGGCCGCTTCCTTTATTTTGCTTGTAGTGTACTGCCTGCACGCATGCAACCGGTACAGTATAAGCAAAATAAAGGAAGGTCTCTGTGGACCACCCCTTGGACCACCCTGTATTTTCATTTTGTTTATTGATTTTATATACATACTTTCTGTTAAAGAACATTGTTATCAGATCTTTTTTGCCCGCAATTTGGCAACAGCACAAATCACCACACTATAAATGTAATATTTGTGAATAATTTCAAAGAACTAGAGGCACTTGGCTCTAGTAATTTTTTTCAATGGATTCGAGTGGCCATAAGCAGTAATGTTGTTGGTAGACACTCAATATACGGTTTATCTCAATGTATAATATCTAACTTGCGGTGTTGCCAAGTTGTAGGCGCGCGCGGAAAAAAAGAATTAGTCGTCACAACTAACAAATTAGCTGATTTTGGGATAGCTAATCCAAAATTTGCTGTGGCAGCTTATAGTTGGTTGCTACAGCCAAGAGTTTGTTGCCTCAGCGAAGCTGTCGCTGCAGGAGCCAATCGGTTCGTTCTGACTACTAATCGGGTGTTTCGCTGTCAGAACGAATCGATTGGCTCCTGCAGCGTTCTGACAGCGAAACACCCAATTAGTAGTCAGAACGAACCGATTGGCTCCTGCAGCGACAGCTTCCCTGTGGCAACTAACTCTTGTCTGTGGCAACCAACTATTAGCTGCCACAGCGAATTTCTTGTCTATCCCAAAATTATCTGATTTATTAGTTGTGACAACTAATTCTTTTTTTTTTCCGTGCGGAAAGGTCTGTAGTCTGTGTTGTACTATGATGGGACCTGATCGCGACTTCTATAGGCTGTTGGACCGTAGTTCATTTGGTCTGAAGGCTGGAGGGAGCGGAGCAGTGCTAGGCACAATGAGTAGACTTGACTTCTGACGTGACAACAACAAGTAGTAGGCTTTATTCGAGCTTCGTACAAGTATTTATCATGTGAAACAGATGACAGGTGTCAGGGGCTCAGGGCGGGCCGCCGTCTCCACACGGCTGCGTGGCGGGTTGGCCTACCCATCGCGTTGCAGGCGTTTGCAGGCCCCGCCCCGCCTCGTGCATTGTACTGTGATTGTATTTTCTCGCCTGCGCAGACGCTGACGGCGCTGCCCGACCTGCCGCTGCTCAGGGTGCTGTCGCACTTGTCGGGCGAGGACCTGTTGTCCGTGGGGCGGGTCTGTATCCGGCTGTGCGAGCTGACGAGGGGGCACCCGTCGCTTTGGTGGGGCAAGAAGGCCTCCATCCGAGCCTCCATCGATTCCGAAGAACTCTTATTGGACATGCTGCAAGCCACACCGGCGTGTGCCGACCTTAGGTTGGAGCTTCACGTCGATGCCGATCACAACAAAATATGGGGAGTACGCGGGTTTTATTTTTTCTTCTCGAAGACCTGCTCCGATGAACTCGACGAGGCGGACGTCGGGAACAGAGCCAGGTCGGGATACGGAGGCGAAGGTGTCGTCTAACAATTGCCAGACAGGGTCATTACTATTGATTCCTTTAATTTGCAGGTCGTTGAGCTTGTTAATAATGTGCAGCGTAAACTATTCCGAATACGGCGCAAGTGTCATCCGGAAGCTTGGGTCGCGAACGAAAAGCATTGATTTTAAGAGCGAATGCATTCGTCTGGACGAGATCTTCGACAGTTTGCAGAATGCCACCTCTCTGGAGACGTTGTCTGTCGATTGGCATTATGATTGTATGGTCCCGCCGTTGAAGTGTTTTAAGACGTTGCAGAAACTGCACTCTGTAACCATACAGTTTTGCCCTGCCAACAAAGACAGTGGCTTTCCTGACTTGCGCCTCTTCTCCCAGCTACTGGAAGCTCACGGGTGAGAGCTGCTCTTCGCGACCCACCCCGGTGCGGCGCTGTGTTTGACCTTTAACTCGTCACTGCTTGCAGGGACCAGCTGCGCTGCGTGAGGCTGCTCACGCACGACGCTGTGCCGCTTCTCGACGCCTGTCCCAGCGGACTCCACCGACTGACCGTCGTGGCAAAAAAAGGGGTGCTCGCGAAGCTGGAGCGAATGCGGCATCTGAGTGAGCTGGTGTTTGCGGGTTACCCCCCTCCCGCACCTTCTGAGGTAAGCCAAGCGACGCCCTTTCGTGCGAGTGGTAAACAATAAACAACTGAAAAGTTTGCTGCACATGAACCCCATATGGACCACTATTGCACAAATAAAACAAAGACCAAAATTACCGGTAGGCAACAACCGAGTGCCTTGTGCCCAGTGGCTACTTCGGGAGCGGGCGGCGACGGGGGGCGGGGGGCGGAGGGCTTTTCCTTCTAGAGACTGTCTTGGGGACTGTCTAAAAACTAAAATCGAACCAGCTCAAACCATTTGAAAATATTTGAATATGAACGTTTTCGGAACGTCACGATGAGCTATTTCAGAGCTGTTATTTCCAACCCGTTTAAAAATTTAAAAGCATTCACGACTGTTTCAAAATAAATTCACGACATTTGTAAGCACACGTTGATGCTGCTTACCCCTCGCACCCCGCCTTGAGACCTCCTTTCTCTCCCACCCCAGTTGGCGACCTTTTTGAGGACCTGGCAGGGCCCGCCGCTGCGCTTGGCGGTGAGGCAATGCGATACGGAGCTGGTACGCGCTCTGGGGGCGGCTGTTAGCGTCACGCACCTGGAGCTAGGGGGCTGGGACTGGGGGTGCATCGGAGAGAGCGGGTTGCGCGCCCTACCCGCGGTCCTGCCCGCCCTGCCCCGCCTGCAGTCGCTGGTTCTGTTTGCATCCGATTTGGTTTCCGATGTGTTCCGTGAGCTTGCGAGCGGCCCCGTCCTCAGCCTTCTCTTTCTTAATGATATCCAAACCTCGGGTGAGTTTTCCTCAAGACGTAAGTATCTGGCCGTCAGCTGCTAGTGTTAGCACAGAACTTAAGGTACTTTTCTTTCAGTTTGCAGAGACCTGGTGCTTCGCAATTCGACGTCCCTCCACGTGGTGAATAGGTCAGTCGATGAGAATTTTAGATGTAAGGTTATTCTCTTCGGCAGGCACCCCGAGGCCGGGCTAGAATCGTGCTCGGTGTGCGCCGAGGTGCGTAGTTTAATCAAGCAAGAATGCCGCACTCCTCGCTATGTGTGCTGCGAGCAGAGTGACTAACGTACTTATCGTTATGAGAAAAATAATAAAGACTTAGGTCTTTTTAGACAGTCCTATCTCTACCTGAAGGCAAAGGCTCGTTTTTGTACTCACATGCATAGCCGGAAATTATGTATCGCTTTACGTTGATCATATCCAAGTTTTTATTTTTTTTTTTGGTCAAATCTTTTAGTGAATACAGGTTGCTCTCTATGAGTGTCGTGCTGAAAGTTATATAAAGAGACGCACGCCACGATAATAATAACATCCTCCACAACAGCAGTAACACAACCATCCATCCACAACAAACATCAACAACAGCAATAACCACTACAACCAACAAGGGCACGCGCCTGTTTGACGGCCGGTGGCGGTACGCCTCCTCGCCCGGGGCGTGTCCGACCAGAGCCCGAGAGCACCATTCGTCAGCAGAGGCGTCGCATTAATTAAATAGGCTGCAGGCACCCGAGTGAGCGGCAGGCGACTCCACCTGCTCCACCGCGCCTAGTCCCAGCTCACGCTCCAGCCGAGGGCTGTGAAACATTCGTCGCAAGTGACATATGTGGAGGTTGTCGCTTTCATCATAGCCTTCGCCCCCCCTCCCCTCCCTTTTCGATAGTGCCGGGTCATATATAGGGCCAGAAAGAGGTCCAGCCCCGGACCACAAGCCACTTGTGAAAAGTGAAAAGGGCGTAAGTCCTCGGCCTCGGGCTTCCCATTGGACTTACGCGCTTTTCACTTTTCACCAGTGGATAGTACATTCATAGCACAGTGCGGCAGCAGGACCACACACGCGCGCTTGTCCGGTCCGAGCTGCAGGAAATGAGGGGAACCGCGTTTGATTCCTCGCCAGCGCGGGAGCCGCATGCCTCGTGCCTTTGAAGCGCCCCCCCCCCCACGCTCACTCGGGGCACGTTAAAGGGTGTGGCATGTGGCGCGGAGTGGGGCGGGGCGGGGCGGGGCGTTCGCTGTGTTTACCGCGCACCCACTCCGCACACAACAACACACACAAACCGCAAGCACCATTAAAGCCTTTTGCATTCGTTTGCGGGGGGCGGGATTGAAATTTTAATTAGAGATTTTGTTTTTGCCATTGCAACCACAGGAAAAAATGTCCCAGTTTTGTTTTACTTGCGTTGCCCCTCCACCCCCCACCCCCACTTCCCCCCTACCAAGCATCCCCCCCCTTCATCTCTCCCCCATTCCGCTACCCCTCCTGCTCCCTCTTACGCACCCCGCCTCCCGCGTGCCTACCAGCCGCGTCCAGAACACGTACGGCGAGCACACCGCAGCTCCCCCGCCCCGCCACGCCCCGCCACGCCCCGCCACGCCCCGCCACGCCCCGCCACGCCCAACCGTGCCACGCGGGCGGAGAGGCAGCGCGGTACGGACGGCCCCGCAATGGGTGAAGGTCAGCGCATCGATCGCGCCCCGCCACGCCGCGCCACCCGGCTCTTTGAGACTCCACCCGCTATTGCCATCACTTCCACCCCCCAGGCGGCCGCAGCAGCCGCCCCCCGCGCACCGCCCCCCGCGCAATTTCTCATACCGGCTACGCTGCGTGGGTGTGGCCGAGCACAGACAAATTCCTCTCCAGGAGGCGGGGAGCAGCGGGGTTGTGGCGGCGGCGGGTAGTTTGGCCGCCGCGCACCGCCGCCGAGGACAAAGATTTATCGGATGAAAAATTTACGCTCGCGCGCCTGCTTCTACGCTGCGGGCTCGGCTGGCTGGGCTGGTTGGGCTGCTCGACGGTCTGATGGCGGCTGGCTCGGGACTGTGACGAGTGGCCACACTTTGTCTCGGCGCGTCCGCCCCCCGGGTCCGCCCCCGGGTCCGGCCCCGCCCAGCCCCCTCTGGTCCGTCTTGCTTCATGCAAATGCATGTTTATGGGCGGGCCTGGCGCTCTGCGCCTGCTGCCCGAAGCTGGGCGAGCTGGGCGGGGCTCCGGGATAAGCTGCGCACGGCGAGGCGGGAGCGGCGGGGAGGTGTTTGAGTTTAGCTGGCGAGGCTCGCCCGCTCGCCGGCGGCTGCGGAGGGGGTTGAGGCCGAGTTTCCCTGTGTTTGGAGGCTCGCTTCGCGCTACCCGTTCTTCAAAGTGGCTTTGGGGACCCACAGCAGGACCGCCTCCTGGAGCCTGCTCCTGGAGCCTGCTCCTGGAGCATATGTCCTACAGGCTGGCCCGTCGCCCTTCCCTGTGAGCCAGTGCTGTGGAGCGTATCCGAGCGGGCTCGCCTAGAGCCCACACTCACACTGGATCCTTTGCTGAACGCGTCCTACAGGCTGGCCTGGCTTGCCTGTTGTTGTAAAAGCAGTGCGTATCCTACTGCAGGATGTCCCATGGAGCCTGTCCTGGAGCGTATCCCACAGGCTTGTCCTGCAACCCCCCTGGACCCCGCCCTGGGAGCCTGGCCTGGATTCTGTGCTCCCATCTGGGTGTGGCCGGGCGGGGCCGCGTGGAGGGGGGCCCGGGGGCCACGTCTACGCTGGGGCTGTACGCCGGGACCACGAGTCGATACGGCCCCCTCCCCCTTACTACGGCGGCACTACAACAATCCCCTCCAGCTCACCTCCTCCCCCTCACCCCCTTACGACACTACAGTCTAAACATAGCTCTACTCTCGACCCCTTCCCCCCTCTCCCCCCCCCCCTCCCGGTCGCGGGGCTTCTCAGACCGGAATGTTAAACACAATACCATTCCCATTACGAGTATTTCCCGTTGTCGCAACGACAGTTCTGCCCTGGCGGAGCCCCGCGCCCCCGCCATGTCCAACTCTCTCTCCCCCCTCCCTCGCCGTCTCTCTATTTCTCTCTCGCGCACACACGCGCTCCATAGCGTCTCTGTGAAGCAAGGCAAGGTCGCGTCGTGGAGGGTCGTAGTAGAGGACGAAAGGGAAACACCACCAGGGGGCGCCTGGGCGTAGCATGGCGTAGCCCATAGTGAGGCGGGGCGTGGCGGGGCGTGGCGGGGCGTGGCGGGGCGTGGCGTGGTGGGGCGTGACGGGGCTTGGGAAAGGGCACAGCCGGGCCAGTCTTTCAATGTAAACATTGTGGCAGGAGGCCAAGGAGGCAGTACCTGCAGTGTCCCTGACAAACTGCTCCTCCTGGGCGCGCGGGGGTGGCTCTGCCTCAGGCGAAGGCGGGCGTCATCGAGGACCTTTAGAGCGGACCCCCTTGGCCAAGTCTGATGTCGAGTTAGGCGCCCGACCCTGCCCTGCCCGACCACACAGGGAAGGTGACTGCGTAATGATAGCCGAAAGCAATTTTCTGATATTTCGGGGAGATAGACAGGAGGTATGGTTTAAACTCTTGAGTTAAAATGCACCGCCACTCTACGTACGGGCAGGTTTGCTTATTATCGCTCCTGACCATAGTAACACAAAACTGTCGCACATAGTGCAATTTTTTTCAATCGGCCAATTATTGTGACGATAACGAAAATCCAACAGTGCTGGCTTTTCCACAGTCAGACGATTGTCTCTGGTCTATCAAATTTAAACTATCTACCATTCTGTTGCAATTTTATCAATTCATTGTCAAATCAACAACAGTGCGATGCGCTCTTACGAAAGAGTCCGATCTACTTTGCTGCTGAACCAAAAGAGTTCGATCTCCTTATTCGCTGCCAAACCAAAAGAGTTCGATCGGCTTCGCTGCCAAACCAAAAGAGTTCGATCTGCTTTCGGCGCTCGTAGACCGCTCCGTATAAACTCAATGATATCTCGAGGCTTGAGAGGAAAAGGGTATATATTTTAGGCTGTACACATTCGTAAAGAAAGGACAGGGTCGGGACAGGGTAACAAGCAAGTATTTTTATTTTGCGTATATTCAAAATATCCGGGGTGTTATAGCTCTCCAAAGATGCCTGACTTTTCATCGCCGAAAAGCAGATCGGACTCTTTTGTTTTCGCTGCAAAGCAGATCGAACTCTTTTGGTTCAGCAGCAAAGCAGATCGGACTCTTTCGTTAGGGCGCATCGAGTGTGGTTTTTCGCTTCCATTACTATAGCTGGCCGATAAAGATTTTCGTTTCCAGAAAAAAAGATAGTATAGCGATAGAATCCTTCTCAGTTCGTATATCGCAGCGATAGTTCGTATCTTTTTTCTACTTTTGTCTGACAGTCGCACGACAGTTCTGTGCTACAGGATGGCGCCACGGCGTACTCTCTACACCGTGCTGGGCGCCTTAGGGATCATCCACAAAAGTACGTCCGCCATTCACCGATACTAACCTTCCAAGTCCAGCCTCTACTAGTGCTCCTAACGCCTGGTAGGTAGGCAACATCTCGCCTGCAGAGCATGGGCGTACTGCGGGCTGGCCTACCCGGAGTCTCGCAGGCGCCGAGCTCTCATGATTTGCCGAATGAACCTGTGTGAAAAACGGACGTACTTTTTGGACGATCCCTTACGGCCCGAGCGAGGGGGCGACATGCCCGCACGTTGGGATGCGCGCCCATGGCTACAGCTGCATACCGGCTTAACCAGCCACCTGGTCGGTATGGTGTGGTTGCGACTTTTTCCTAGTTTTCTGGGCGAACGGGGTGAACCCGAGAATTTTGTTGAGCCGTGGTAACAGTGAGGACTGTCGCATACGCACTGCTCCAGCGGTGTGCCGAGTGGGTGGGCGGGCGGTCCCATCGCGGCACCGAGAGTATACGCGTATAGCAAATATACGCTACCGCACTCGCTCTCGCACGGGGTGCGCACAGCGTGCGACACACGCGCACACGCGCGCATGGCGGCGGCGGCGGTGAGGGGCGTTCATTTGCACATGAGAGGCAGCAAAAATAAATCCGCGTGGAGCAAGGTCATCGGAAACGCGCTGTACATGGCGGGGCGGCGTTCCGCGCGTTTCACGCTCGAGTGCCGCTTATTGCTTATAGGACAGATAGAAAGAGGAGAGAGAGAGAGAGAGACAGACAGACAGACAGACAGACAGACAGACAGAGACAGACGGAAAGGGCCGGGGAGGACTTGCTGGGCATGTGCGGGTAGCGAGGAAGCGAGGTAGTGGAATCCTCTCCGCGCCAAGTTGGTTGTAGTAGTTGTTTGCGATGTTACATTGCGCGCAAAAGTTGTATCAGCGAGGCGGAGGGCCCCAAGTCCGCCCGCTCGTCTGTCCGACGTGGGTGCGTGTTTGAACGGCGCGCCGTATGGTGCACCGGACGGGATCCGCCCGGATTCCGCTCTCGGTCTCTGCGAGAAATGAAGTTCAAGCGCCCACTGCAAAATTCTT